GTGTGTTCGATCCTAGCTTCGTGCAAGGATTGATTTTGTGTTTTGATAGTTTAAGTTTCAGAATGATATAATGGGAATTTATATTCTCGATTTCGTTCTGGTTCAAGATTAAAGCTTAAACCAACCATATCGATTCTTTTTTTTATGGACAATAGTTATATCTTCAATATCGATGATTTATGAGGCCACGGTTCGTTGTGTTTCCTCAGGATGATACAAAAAACTAACTCAGTTTTATTCACTGAACATGATTCTGTCATTAATTTTTTTTATTAAACTATGAATTAGGACGAAAAAATAAATGTTTTTGAATACATGTCACTTTTAAGGGTTTTACGTTGTCACATTGAGCACATGGTTTCGGTCTGTTCTGCCACTTATTATTCAATGTCATATACACCATTCGATGCAGAATCATTCAGTCTATAGGAATTATAAATTTTAATTTTTGGCAAAGCATGTTTAGGGTATCAAAAGACCGAATATACTGGAAAAAATGGCATATTTCTTGGTATCACTTTTCAAGTATTCTGAGTGTGGCTGCGTCAATATAAGACCGAATGACTTCAGAATAACAGTGTTATCTCCTCTATCCAAAATGGTTTTGAAAGTGGACTCTTTGATGTCAGTGAATTTTATTATTGATGTACTGTATTAAATAAAATTCTCTCAGGAAAACAAAACATTTCTTATGTTAAAAAAATAACAGTTCTTTGTAACTCAATTTAATGATTATGTTTTGTATTTTTGCACGGACAAATTAATATTATCGCAATAGCATTTAGAGTGCAAAAATTCCACAATTACGAATAATTGATATATATTTTTCGGTATCATTCCCACTGTTTCACGATGGTACCATCGAATGTCGTCATTGTTAGAACTATTAATATCTTTAACAGGAAAAATAGAATATATAAAACTTCGCTATAAAGGTCAGATATCTATTTGTATACTCACCAGAATTTGTAATATCAGCATCAACGAGCGCTCGATTATTATTCTCTAGAAATTTTAAATAAATTCTCAGCCGAGCAGTATTACAGTTAATACCGGCAGCTTCACCAACATACGCTGATAAATTATATTGCAATTTACCACTATCAACGAACACGGAATAATTACCAATATCAATAACTTGATACATCTCAGCTCCTACAGTCAGTGCATCATCATCAACAGTGAAGTAAGATTTTCCCAGCTTGAGATTTGTCGCTGAATCATTATTCATTGTTTGTTTATGAACATTCACCGTTACCTTCCCAAATGATTCCTTCCATTCACATGGAATTAAGCACTGTAGAGTAATAGACAAAAAGCTTATCAGCGTAGACCTGGAAGGTCTAAATGTCAGACTCCTCTCCATGCATTCTCCGTCGCGTTCGTAACATCTATTTCTAGAGCCTATGAGTTTGCACTTCTAAGAAAGCTCCGACAGGCTGCACCTTCGTCGCGCTTGTGGTTGTCTACATCGCGTGTGCACCGGGGCACTACGTCCAGCTGGTAGACCTAGTTGGACTGCGTTTGACAGTACCGCTATGTCGCGTTTGTATGAATTCCTACATGGCAGTGTAAAGCAAATCCTACGTCGTGTGTGACGTGCACTACGATAAGTACTAATAATTCGATAATCAAGATACTTAACAAATAGTTTTTTTGAAATATCCTGGACAATGTTTGTTAATGCTCCTATACCGGCACGGAAAATCGAATTTATAACATACTAAATGGCGTCGCGCGTGGGCTGTTGCATGGAAAATGTGACACTTTATACAACGATTTCTCCGCTCAAGCTGAAAATTTCAGAGATTATAAAGTAAGTATCCTAAGTCAAAATATCAAACTTTTGTTTAAAATTCCACGGCATTAGAGATTTTAATGCACAATAAAAAGAAGTCAAATGCACAAAAGAAAGCGCGGGTGCTCCTCTATCTAAATATATATGGATGAGCTACAGTAAATCGATCGCATCCTCAAAGCACACTGATTTAAACATATATAAAAAACGTATTTAAATTATGGCCTTTATAATTCGCATCTATCTGTACTCTCGTTTTGCCTGATGTGCAAAGGAAGTTTTGAGAAAGGGCAAGTTAAATATTTTTATGAAAAAATAGCACCGTTACCAGAATGTATTAGGATTGTGCTAGTGAGTTGAGTCCATCATTCGTACGATAATGCACACAATTTTACGCTTGCTTCTTCTCGATTAGTGAGAATGTTAGATCAGTTTTCTCTTCACCATTGGATAGGATCATGTTTACACTTCATTCACGGTTAAACTACTAATTTTTATGTAATATTAGTGAAAAAGCTATTGAATGAAACTTTTTTAATCGAATCATTTGTGAAGAACAAATAAATGTATTCATGTGGATTCTTTCAAAATATTGAAACGAAAACATTCGTACACTGTTCACTGACTGATGTAAAATACCAGTTTCATAACATAATTGACTAAGATTTAAGTGAGTACTATATGAAAAACTTTTACTCTACTTTTAGGATCAGCTCTTTTTTATTTTAGTTTTTTAATGTTCTCCTGAGATTCTGTAATAATCGTATGATCAGATGATAATTATTTTAAACTCTATTCGAGTATTTTTTCAAGAATAGTAATACTAGATGCATACTCATCGCCGTTAATAGAACTAACCAGTCCAATGTTCAAATGATTTATTAAGATCAGGATGGTTTAGTGGTAAACATTTTAAACGTATATCAAGAGCTATGTTATAATAATCTATTGCTCTAGAATCGTCACCCATTTTCGTATAAATAAGACCGATGTTGTCATATGTCGAAGCAATATAATGATGAATTGACGATAGATTAATTTCCAATGCTTTTGCGAAATAATGTAACGCAGTTGCATAATCGCCTGTGACCTAAATAGAATTTTCCTCCTAAACTCCTGTGGAGATCTTGATAAAACTTTTTTATTTATGAAATCGACTCTGAAAGCTGCGTCAATTGAAATATCACATGTGCCACTTAATAGAAACTTTTTTAATCACTGAGATTGGACTAATGAGCTGAGTATAATAAAAAAACGAAAATGATCCAGACCACTTGCATGACCATTGGTTTGACACAGCTTTCAATGCCGATTTCATAAATAAAAAGGGTTTGGAGAAGTTCTTCAGGGAAAACTGTAGTTTACTTGACTGTTTTATCATATAAGAGTGATCAAGATCTTTGCAGGGATTTAGGAGGAAAATTCTAATTAGGCTGTTTTGTGGCTCGCATACGCCTCTATTGGAATCACTATTCCGCTATGCTGTAGAATTCAAGTTAACTGAATTACAAAGGCCATAATTTAAATACGTTTTTTATATATGTTTAAATCAGTGTGCTTTGAGGATGCGATCGATTTACTGTAGCTCATCCATATATATTTAGATAGAGGAGCACCCGCGCTTTCTTTTGTGCATTTGACTTCTTTTTATTGTGCATTAAAATCTCTAATGCCGTGGAATTTTAAATAAAAATTTTATATTTTGACTTAGGATACTTACTTTATAATCTCTGAAATTTTCAGCTTGAGCGGAGAAATCGTTGTATAAAGTATCACATTCTTCGTAGAATAGCGCGTGTATGAAGCCATGCAGGTGGAGTTTTGTGAAATGCCCAAGTCCCCTTATTTCGCGATAGTATGATTCTTGCAAAATTGTAGTATCAAAGTTTGTTGTATGTATAAACTCACACTCTTCTATTTATATTTTTCATATAAAAACGTATACACTAGAGGAGTTTCGCAGAAGCACTTCTGCTACAGCAGGTTGAACCAGAGAAAATGGAATGCACCAATCAGTTATGCTTACCTCTTTTTCAGCATCGCCATTTTTCACTAAATTTCTACCACTTGTAATCCTCCATGTTCCATCTGGTAATACGACGTTCTTCAGCACCTGAATACCATCTGTAACTGAAGTGTTCAGTATAGCACCTGTAAGATTCGTGTTAATAAAATGAACAGAAATATAAAATAATGCACGAGAAAAATCAGAATAAACAAGTGATGTGCCGATGAATAGAGTATCGGTAATAGTTGCTTCGCTAAAATTTGAATATGAAAGATCAGCATCTACAAAGATACCGTTACACATAGTTATTTTACGAAAGTCAGCATGTTCTAATGAAGTTTTAGAAATTATAGTTTCAGTAGTTGAACAGTAAAAGGTTGAACCACTTAAGTTAACATTGGTCATTACTGATCCCACAAATTGGGAGCCATAAAACGCACAATTAATGAAGGATGCGTTTAGAAGGTTAACAGATCTTAAGTAGATGTTTTTAAAGTTATACTGAATTGTCGCGGAACTGTCAATATGGATATTGCGAAGATCCGAGCCGGATAAATCCACAGTAGAGTTATCAAGTATACTTGGCAATAAATTATTGTCATACAAAAACATAAACAAATGTGTTTTATGTGCACTGTCAATATCTCTTAATGTTGTTACCGTCTTACTACGTATATACTGAAACTTATCTGCATCAACAAACGATGAACTTTGATGTTGTTCGTATAGAACATTTGATACGTCTTCAATATATTTATTATAAACTGTTTGATAATGTAAATCGTCAGCTAGTTGTTGATCTTGTTCACGTTGCTTTTCAGCAATTTGATTGTCATGTATACGTGTTAGATTAGCAATTTGCAAATCTTTGAGTCTTGTTTCATTTGCTATCTGTTGATCCTGTAGTCGATGATGTTCAGAAATTTGTTGTTGTTGTACATAAGTAACAACGGTGAATATAGCGATCATCAATGGTATTGAAGCCGACACAGCAATTCTTGTCAATGTCAAACAACGTTTCCCAGAGCCATTAGGCTTTTTTCTTAATGGTTTTTTTCTTGATGGTTTACACGGCTGTTTGCGTGATCGACGAAACATTTTCCATCAAAGCAGAATTCAGTGAACAATAAACTATTCTTTATTTTATGATTAACAAAGAAAAAGGTGCGTTTTTTCATCATCAACATATATATGTTGATTATGAATTCGAAACAAGATTAATATGATTCTAAAGATAATATTTAACTACTGTAAAAAAGAAAATTAGCATCTTTTTCTCTCTCTCTCTCTTTCTAAACATATATTTGTTCTCTACAATACAGATTACCTTACTGTACAAAAAGGTGTTTTAAGTTCATAAAAAATAAGTGACAGTAATAGCTTTGACATTTCTTTGATTTTGTACGTCGTAATACTGAGCAAACTTTAATTATACAATAGTCCAAAAAAAAGGCAAACGAGGGAGACTCAGAAGATCAGGTTTTCGATTAGTAGACGTATTGACATAAGATTGATAGAAAACAACGTCTCTTTCGTTTTTGATCATGTTTTGCCTTTGGAAGTTTAGGGACGCTGACTCTTCTATTGAGCATATGTACATATAAATATATATGTTTATCTGCTGTGTTGCATTGAAATAGTTCAAAAAGAAACAGTTATTTGAAAATCTCAAATATTCTTCGACTGACCAGAAATACGTCAGAAATCATCATTTAATTAATTGATCGTACCCGCTGCTTTTCTAACATCCATTATACACGAAATAATTATTATTAAAATTGAAGATCTTATAGATTAAAAAATCTCCCCTCTGTTACACATCTTGTTGCAATATGTTGTAATTTCACCATTATTTTTGTTTCATTTTGCATGACTCATGCATATTTGTCTTTTGATAGGATGAGCCGTCGAAATTCGTACCGTTTTCATCAATGAAATTATCGATCGGTAATATGAAAAGAAAGAATATGAAAATACGTATACGTCGGAATTGAGATTAGAATCCAATTAAGATTTTAAAACAGAATTGGTTCATATCGAAAATCTAACAGGCGGAAGTAGACTTGTTCATTTTAGAATCTATTTTACATTGAACTAGTTTAAATTGTCAAGTCTTACGGCAATGCTTGTAGTCAGAAGCAAATTCAAGAACGTCACGAAAACCTATACTACTATCCGTTTCAAAATAGTAAGCCCCATCAGTGTTGACCTTATAGCTCCGGAACGGTGATAGATAGAGAGGTGCGGTTCTCACCATTCGAAAGAGAAATATGGGGCTACGATACTCATGAAACATCAAGTTTACTTTTGTCGGATCCACAAGGTTTTTGAGAGGATCTTTGAAAGACTTCGGGTTTTAGAAACTTTGAAGTTTTGAACTTTTTGATTTCATTCAGCAGACATCTAGCCCATACCTTTGTCTACATTTTAACGAAAGCCCGACATTTTTATCATATTCCTACGAAAAACGCCGATTTTCCCGCCAACACGACCGAA